TGTTTACTTTTTAGTTTGCGCGTGTTTACATCCTACGTAATTTCTATGGGTTAGTACCGACAGTTACAGTAAGATGATATACGCTCTAGCATAACATGTGTACTATGACGTAACGTACGTTGACCCTGATGCTGTTATACGAAAAAAAAGCATTTCTTTAAAAATTTGGGAATTGCTTTGACTGCTGTCGTAATATGCAAGCTACCAGTTGTTCAGTAGATACACGTTTGAGTTCTACAATGTATTATTATGTTGCTGTTGCTGCTGTTGCAGGGAAAAATTGAGCGGCTCAAATACCCGTATGACAGCAACTGTACGGACGGTGATGAGCCAGAAGATGAGAAATCGTACTTCGGTGAAGAATACGCGTACTCCCTCAAAGTAGGACTGGATCATCTATATATCTCTATTCCACATATTTTCTTACCGTAGTGATGCCTCATTGTACATCGTCACTTCGTTTCTATGATAGTCAGTCATTGCTGTAGCGCAAAACCTGTATATAACAGTATACCATATTATTTTATAATTATTTAATTATTCATATTAACAGCTGACTTACTAACAATCGAGCATTGAGCATTGAGTATTGAGCATTGAGCATTGAGCATTGAGCATTGAGTTATACGTGACTTGCTAGCGCTGCTGTTGTCTACTACTATAATAACCAACATCATCACTTGTTGGAGGCGGAATACACCGCAGCTATTTCTCAAACCATGGATGCTTGCATGTTCGCTGCGCTCTTTGATATGAGGCCTTTCGCACTTCTTTTCCAATCACTGACGTTTCCGATTTTCAATAATTCTCTATCATTCCGTGCCGTTAAAAGTGGCATCCTCATTATATAATGTGAAAGGTAATGTCTATATTTCAGTGCTATAGAGAAATTCTTGTGATTAGTGACTATCATTGTCTATTCAAGGGTTGTGTGTTTGCGTGCGCCAAGTCACGAATTATGGACGAATGCGATTGTATACCTTACCAGTACGTCGATCTTGATGACACGTCAATTAGATTATGCAACACTCCTAGTAAGTGTCGCTTACATAATCGCGTCTACGACTAGCGGCCATTGACTGCTGCAATTTATATTATTCTCTGTATTATTCTCTGTATTATTCTCTATAAGATACTCTATGCTAGCGGGGTCTATATTATTCTCAATACCATATTCTCTTCTAGCGGGGTCTATATTATTCTCAATACCATATTCTCTTCTAGCGGGGTCTATATTATTCTCAATACCATAATTATTCTCTTCCAGCGGGGTCTATATTATTCTCAATACCATATTCTCTTCTAGCGGGGTCTATATTATTCTCAATACTATACTCTATTGACTAGCGGTCTTCATGCTATTCTCTATACTATACTATGAGTGTGCGTACGTGGCCGTGTGCGAGTGCGCGTTTGCGCAAGGGGCGCGTGCGTGCGCGCGCCCTGATGCGGTATATATAATTATACTATATGTGTGTGACTGTGTGCGTGTGTGGTGTGTGTGTTGTGTTGTGTGTGTGGTGTGTGTGCCAGGCGTGATGTGTTGTGGTGGCTTTGTGTGTGTGTATGTGGTGGGTTGTGTGTGTGTGTGTGTGTGTGTGTGTGTGTGGTGTGTGTGAGTATTGAGTTGCTACGCTGACTTACTGGTTGTCTTACTACTATAACTAGACAGAGGGCACTCCAAAAGATGTGCAACCTCGCTGAACGTAGGTCACATGTATACATGTGTATCCCAAGCTGGCTCGCGGTTGCTGCTGCCCCTGCCTGGACTTTCTAAGGCGACGCTGCTGCCTGACTGGGCGGCCTTAAGGCGAGCTGGTGCTTGAATCGATCGCGCTGCTGCTGCGGCTCGCTGAACGCTGCTGGTCACACACATGAACAGGCAGCACGGGGATGTCACCTTACCCCTCCTGCACTCCGTTGCGGAGGGCTAACAACCAGAACATCATCACTTGTTGTGAAGGCGGAAATACACCGCAGCTATTTCTCAAACCCATACTGGATAGCTTGCATGTTTCGCCGCGCTCATGTGTGTTGCTGGGCGTGCCGTTTGTGTGTGTGTGTGTGTGCGTGTGTGTGGGTGTTGTGTGGTTGTGTGTGCTGTGTGTGATTGTGGTGGCGAACTGTGTGTGTGGTGTGTGTGTGTGTACGGGTGCGTGCGCTGCATGTCGCTCGTTTGCGTGCGTGCGTGCATGCGTGCCGTGCCTGCGTGTGTGTGGTGTGTGTGTGTGTTGTGTGTGTCGTGCTGTGTGTATGTGTTACGGTACGTGTGGCATGCGCAGTGCCTGTGTTTGCGCTTGCCTCATAGCGAAACACCAGTTATATTGATCGCCACCCAAGGTATGATTTTCGACAGCAAAGCCTTTTGTACTTCATCGGGGCTCTTTACATTATATACGAAATTGCCATTCAGCACACTGAAATCTAACCTGTATTAATAATAAATATTATTTATTGATTTATATTGCGCACGGTACATGCAGATATGGCCCTCACCGCATGCGCATTGCAAAGGCTGATTCATAAACACAGCGAAATATGCAATATCTGTAAAAATATAGATACGTTAAATTACGAACAATCCGTATACACAGGATTCCTGATTATATAATAGAGCGGATTGCAACACTTGCTAAAATTAGTGATCACGTGGATAAATCCGTTGAAATTCTATTGGATAACGCACGCAGCGTACTTATTGAAGCAATAGCTGCGCTCCTGCAGCGGGCACTATTGCTTGCGCGACGTATTGTTATTATAGACGCTTTGAACTCCCGCCGTCAATATCCTTCGTGTTCACGCTCACGACATCTCCTGCGATTCTGGGCGCACGCAAGAATTTACGAACGGCGGTTGTTGTGGTGTGTTCGAGACCGTTTGTTACCATCGAATGCACCGGCAAATTCAGGGCAGTATAAAGATGGTATATAAGCATGAAAGGCAGATTGCATATCATGTGCATGCCACTAAAACATTAATGCCTGTGTTGGTTGGGCACATATGTATCTCATAGCTGTTGCTTTTGGAAGCGATACGTGCTCTCGCTATATACCTTTCCTTCGCAACAGACTTATAGAGAGCATAGTGTCCCCCAACAACAGAGCATTAACTACTTATTAAATATAGATCCTGAAAAGCCGACAATAAATATAATGCATTCTTCAAAAAAATAAACTTCAAATCAAATGTTACACCTAAAAATATAATAGTCTATGTGGATTAAATGCCAATGTTAAATAGATGCAGTTTTTACTAGGCGTTTAAAAGATTCCAGGCGTAAGCTCTTTCCACATCGAATTGAGCTATGATAGCTTTTCGCATAATTTTGGGGCAGCTGAATGAGAAAGCTACAATCCCAAGTGGAGCACGTTTTTACAGCTGTGGCCTCAATTAATATTTTTGGTTTCCAGGAGCGCCAGGACTGTACGTTAGGTCTCTTTTAATGTGACTAATTCCCCTGATATAATCTGTCGTGAAATACAATGTAATGCCCTTTAAAAGCTGATGAAGTAGTATTTTCTAAACTCATAGACGGAATATATTATTGTGTATTGTTATAATTCTTGTTGGGCTTGTGTACAGCCTAATCGATTCAAAGCAATTTGTATTAATGTTACTCACTATGGAAATCATGTCGCCTTCAGATGCAAACAGTTTCCTAATATAGGAATGACATAACTCTCGCTGGCAAAATATTGCTGCCCTCACGCTATGGCCAACTACAAACAAAAACATCAATCATTGTAAGCCAACGCTTATCGGCTCCACACTAATTACAATAACTAATAATTCAGCATTATTATTATTTTTTACTGGTAATATAGAGGCGAGATGATGGTTGTACATTTTGTGTTCCTATCTCCGAAATATCTTACCCAAGACGATGCCAATTTCTTTTTTTCGTTCAGAGTCTGTACGGTTGCTTTTTTCGGTTAGGAACGACATTACACCTGATAGTTTGCAGCTGTCGTGTCGCGTGCAAGGTAAACGCCCATCTCTGTTTATTTACTTCTCTGTATAAGCACATTCGATTCGCCCCCTGGCGTGACTCGCGATATTATTTGCATCTGAGCATCTAGACCATGAGAAATCCATAGGGTTAGAAAAATTTTTCTCATTTTCCTATTTAATTCTATAAAAAATGTAAGGGGGCATTGTCCTAAGCCGAGAGCATCACCTTCGCTTAAGCTGGGTTTACACTGCCAACTTTGTGTTGGCGAATTGCCGAATTGTACCAACTTTGCAATTTCGCAACTGACAATCGCAACCGCAAAAGTTGCAACTCCAACCGATCGATAGCAGCTAGTTGGGAGATTAGAATATGTTCTAATTCGGCAATTCGGCAATTCGGCAATTCGCCAACTCAAGGTTGGCAGTGTAAACCCAGCATATGTTCAATTCATAAATTGTCACATTGTTGCGCTTCTTTTCAGCGAAACAGAATACGAGTTGACAATTTCATCAGCCACGTATCCGGCAGAAAATTACGAGGTTAGACACATCTGCGAACAGTTTCATTATAACATTTCAAAGTCAGTACTGTACTTCACTCACTGATCGCCAGCCGATAATGACACCCGCCCACTATTGCTCCGCGTAACTCGAATATGCTGTCTCGTATTATGTATTTAATGCGGCCGACTTTAGCGCGCAACATAATTTCGGCACGCTTTCAGTTGCTTCCGTGTATAATTGTTATTTGTTCATTAGGCCGTATATATGTTACCTGTTTAATTGCAGGACTTCATTCCTGACATGGTCAGAGAGGGAAGTCTCGCAGTGCGCAGGACACTGGCGACGTGGCTGAACACCAGCGAATCGGCATTGAAAAGTGGCGCCGAATGTCTTATAGAAAAATCGTACTGTACAAATGATTCCTATGATTTCACCGAGACTTCCGATGACAACACATTTTTTCAGGCAGTACAAGCGGGAAGGTGTGCGATTTATTTAGTATTTATCGCCGGCGATTAGTCGGCTTGTAAAAAGTCACTACACTTGCGTTATATTTAGCCGACCACAATAAAAATCTTGAATCAACACCGCGGATATCAACTTGTGCACGCTCGTGGAGTGAAGCGCCTATATCGAATTGTACCTTTCGGCAGCAATCGCCCTCTTATATGTGTATTACATGCTAAACTACATCGATTTTGTCGCAATGCGTGCGTAACTCATTATTCATAGCCAGCGAGTATATTGCGGTGAACCTTTCGGGTGCAGCATATACCTGTAGTGTATTATGGTACTCTAAATAAGCGTAGATATATACCTCACTTAATGCATTTATTAGTTATAGGCTAACTATATGCGTACTTACAGAGATATATCAGAATGACACTCTTTTTCTAGATCCACTTTCTCAGATCAGTGTTTATTAGAAAGATATGAAGTCTCAAGAAAACAAAAACTGCCAGAAGGCAACCGTGAGTCAGACAAAAGGAAGCGTAAGACACTGAACTGTAACAGCAAAGCCAGTGCCATCTTAAAGCGCGGATCTTTCATAATAAGTCGTTATATATAATAGTTATATTGATTATATATTATTATATGATATATATTATTAGCTGCTGGCAGCCTGCTGTGTGCTTTTATTATAATCAGGGGCAGATCTGTGGTGTATTTGTCGCGCCGCTTAGCAGTGTATGTGTAACTTGTTGTAGTTGGTGACATGGTAAAGTGATTTGCTTAGAAGTGGGCTGACAGGGTAATTTGTTTTCATAGGACGGCTGTATATAGCGGTGTATTTTTTTAGTTGAGCATCTTGCATCCTTGCGGTATATTTGTATAGTGACACGATTTCTGGCTGTGCTTGTTGCAGTTGGTGAGCTTTCTAGCGGAGTCGGCGGCATGTTTGGTCCTGCATCGGCTTGCTCGTCTGCTCACCTCGTCGACAACCGTGTGCTGGAGTTACCGGTGTTATTGCTGCGATTGTCTGCCGTCTGGCAGGGGTGCAACAAGGTTGATGAGACGCAAACCACGATGTCCAGATAGACGTGAAAATAATGTGGGTAACGGCCCAATACAACCAGAGCTCGCTCAATCACGTCGCCCCGCCCAAAAAATTTGCGCCGAGCGTTGGTGAGCGTGGTTGAGACGGTGCAATTGCGGCCACCAGCGCGGCGCCAGCGCCGATTATACGAACTCTAATTACGTCCTATACTACGCTCTAAGTGCGTCTTTACCCGTGCTGCATTGCGCTCCAACAAGCTTTCAGCCCGCCCTCAAACCACGCCCGCATCACGCTTGCACTGCGCGCGGACTGCCGTCGCTTACTGCGACAATCAGATCGTGTGCGTATCGGAAGCGAAACGTCTTGCACTGGCGCCTTAGCAACGCTCACCAGCGCCTCAACTGCGCGCTGAAAATCACGCGCCGACTGCGCTGGCAACGCATCATATAAAATACCGCAGCCGCGTTGCTATACAGATCACATTGCAGGCTGCCGTGACTGTCAAGATTAACATCAAGATAATTAAGATCAACATTATCAATTTAATCAGATTAACATCAAGATTATTTATTACAGGAACGACTAATGCCGCCAAAAGACAAGGGGAGAGCCAGCAAGATCTTTGATGTCATTCTATTTCTCCTCTCCTCCTCAGATGATGAGAGCGCTTGGCCAATCAAGTAGTTCGAGTTGTACTCTAACGAGAACATTGGCATGGATGGAGTGTTGCCTCTACCATAGTGGACACTGATACTGGTGGGGTGGCCAGGGGTAGCCCCCAAATTATACCCCAAGTTGTTCAGAGTGAGTCTAACCGTAATGCGAACGCCACACACGGGTAAGTCATGAGCGTGGTTGGGCCAGTACAATCGTGTACGAACGGTCGAAGCTTTGCTAGAGAGCACCATGGTCTAGCGAGGCCCACCCCCTCCCCCCCCCCGCCCCCCCCCCCTGGTCAGGTCGCAGAGCATCTCCATGGACGTTAGTAAAGCGGTGATGAAACCGATATTGTACTATCTCGTGGCTGAGAACGGGGCGGCCCAATTTTCACGCACCCGACACGCGTTGCGTTACGACCATTAAGTTCGTGACTACGTCTCGAGTTGACGTGGGTCTACGCCTTCCACGTCTCGTAATACGAACCCGCACGTGCGCTGTATTCCGCACCGCACCGCACCACGATATTTTGAACGGCATGTTCAAAGTTTGGCCACGCTCTCACGCTCATGCTGACTGCCACCGCGCTCGAGCCGATCGCAGTACGTCCATATACGTCCACACTGCGCTTCTACACGTTCCACCACGCTCTTAGAGCCGTAGTACGAGCGTAGGTGAGTCGGGCCCTTGTGTGACTGGGGTATAAGGTTTTGAACAGTACGAAATCAAAAAACTGACCTGCCGCCCTCTGTAAGTGTACGTGGCCGCGTACAGTACGCGCCGCTGTCGAGGGCTCGTTGTCGAAACATCATATATAAATAGTTTGTCATATCTTATATCTCGCGCAACTTTGCAACGGAGTGTTGTGAAAAAGTTATGACATTTTAAACAAGAATAGTCAACTGTTTTTATATTTTGATAACGGTCTCAGCGGGTAAAGAATTTAGAGACGATAGAGGGCAGCAGTATGTTACATCTTCAGTGGGGTAATAAGCTGATTATTCCAATATGGCTGGATTTTAAAGCTGGTTATGGCGTGCCCGGTCCGTAAGGCCTGGCACTTTAGTGTTGCGGAGCACATGAACTCGCCTATAAGTATATATACTCATAACATACACACGCACGCACGCACGCACGCACGCACGCATATATAATATTATTATATTATATATATATATACTATTATATATATTTATTATATATATATATATATATACATACAGTTATTTATTTATTTATTTATTATATATATATATATAGATAGATATATAGATTAGACAAATATAATTTATTCTACACTAATTAGCTACTCCCGATATGTACAGTACATATCATTGCCCACTACAACTGAACTGTGTGTACGTAAAAGATTTACTGGCGAAATCATTGAGCGTTAACAATGCCTTATTATTACAAATTTATTGCAAACGATACGTGACCAATAGACAATTATTAAATCACAAATCACCTCTTCTTGTACAGATAACATCTATAGGCGCTATTGTTGCGTACTGCGCGATCATAATGTATAAAATATTATACATTCATGCATCAAAACATTGGGCATTGATTTGCACTTGAACTTTGTGGAATATGATTACTATAAGTTACCGTGAACAGTTACAGAGTGACTGGAACGCGTGCATGTGTCAGTGACTTAAGCGTTGCCATGATTTTCAGTGTAAAACCTACATTTAAATAATTGAATAAATTCATTAATTTCAAAGTAACTAAGATCTACGTTGTGTTTTAGAAAGTAAATGCCGCCATTAAATTTCCCACATTATTATAAGTTCAGCACACAGCCTACGCGTTACTGCACACCGATCGATTCACACGCACGTTCTCCTACAGAAACTGTTTTTCTAAAAAATGTGATGTCCCCTCCAACGCCATTAACTCACATTGTTCCTACAACGATGGACAAACCGTTAGTATTTCACCGTAAAATGATCGCAGGTTACCTGTGAAATATCTACATGATTTAACCGCATTCACAGACAAATACATTCGGTTGTATTGCGGAATATTCCGTCTCTGCGTAAACTTTTATCGGCCGTGGCTACTGGGGCAAAAATAACACAATTTAACGCATCGCATTAGTTTTTGAAGAAATTAGAAGATAAAATTTTAATCACGCCCTCCATAGGTAATGCTTTCCAACGGGTATGCATACAGACATAAAATATTGACCCGGTTATATACGTGTGACGGCAATGCTGGAGAATGTGGAGACATGCACACCATATAACAAATGTGTTATTGTAAAAAACGACATTGCGCTCACGTGTTTTTTAGAACGCATATGTTGATTTCACTGTTGTTTTGCTCTCTATTTATCCCTCTCTCTTTCTCTCTCTCCCTCTCTCTTTCTCTCTTTCTCTCTCTCCCTCTCTCTCTTTCTCTCTCTCCCTCTCTCTTTGTCTCTCTCTCTCTCTCTTTTGTTATCGACGGTAGTTCCTCTACTACCATCCACCGGTTGTCCTGCAAAGTACAACGCAACAACATTACACATTAATTCGTGACGAACATGTATTATATACATGTGAAGTTTCCCAATAAACGGTGTTTTGTGCCTTGTAGCTAAACATCTGCTTTATAGTTTTGCGTTTATCGAGTATAAGTTTGATCTATTCCCCCGCTATTCCCTTGACTTAACATGTTAACGATACGAGCGGGGGGTTCTGCATGTGGGAAGCAGGCTCGTTGGTGATGATGCTTTCATGCCATTGCCTCGATCACAGCAGCAGTACACGGAGTATTTTCGATTCCACGTGACGGACCGACGGTAAACTATTTCCGCGTGCAGCTCATGAAGTGTGCAGACGATGACGAACGATCGAACGAACGGACGAACGAGATGAAATGGCGACGCCGCGAGCTATGAGTTTATACTCTCAGGAGTGAATATGGATCTATATTATACACTCCTGTTACTATTCGATTAACGTTTATACACTGTAGAGTGAATGTGATTCATAATCATCCTGTAATATACAATGTATATATACCCCGTACAGACTGCAAATCAAGCTAGTCCAGGCCAGACGCACGCTAAATCCTGGGCTAAATAAGCGCTAGTCCGGACTAAGTTAGCCCCGCAAATAAAGGTGGGCCAGGTCCGCTTCTAATTTTCTCTATTCTCTATTCTTTATAGATATCTATGATTTTAATTCGCTGCCGCCCAGCCACCTTACAACAGCTTACCACTACAATAGCTTACTTCCCGGCAGCTTACAACAACTTACAACAGCTCACAACAACTTACAACAGCTTACAACCGCTTACAACAGCTTACAACAGCTTACAACACTTTAACAACCACAGCTTACCTTCCAGCTACCTCTAGATCCCTGGATCCCGAATACGACATGTTGTGTCCTCGCTGCAGGTTAGTTGAGCTCAGATCCAACTTGTTTTGCGCTCTCATGTACAAAAATACTATTCCAAGGCAAGAGATAGCGATCCCGACACCTGTAATGCGGGAAATAGTCGTAAACGAGTAACACTCAATAATGTCAAGAGCACATAAACATCAATGGCAATTAAGGCACAGGTGACGTGCGTGGTTATATATATATATCACATATACACTGATCGTAGGGTACATCTACGATCGACACATACTTCCTATTGTGAATCCATTAGCGACCATCAGGTCTTTGGAGACGTGGTCCACACCGGGTATGTAGTAGCCGACCACAACCAACGTCGCTCCGACACCGAACAGCAGCAGTCCGATGGCTATCATGAGCAGCAGACACGCGTCCGCCGACTCTTCGTCCCGTAGCGCCATCCTGTCTGTATGTGCGTCTACAACAACAGCGACACGAATCAAACACGGTTGTGCCGTGCGTGCGAGCGTGCGTGCGTGCGTGCGTGCGTGCGTGCGAGCGTGCGTGCGTGCGTGTAGGCGTGCGTGCGTGCAGGCGTGCGTGTGAGCGTGCGTGAAGTGCCGTAGCAGGCGTGCGTGAGTGATTTGTGTGTGCGTGTGGCGTGCGCGTGTGTGCAGGCGTGCGTGTTCACGAGCGCGCGTGCGGGAGCGGCGTGCGCTGGCGTGTGCATGAGCAGCGGCGTGTTCGTGTGCATAGTGCGTGCGTGCGAGCGTGTGCGTGCATGTGGGCGTGCGTGTGCGTGCAGGCATGCGTTGTGGAGCGTGCGTGCGGGCGTGCGTGCGCGTGCGTGTGCATGACAGCGCGTGTTTGCTGTGCATGTGCGTGCGTGCGAGCGTGTGCGTGCAGTGGCGAGTGTGTGTGAGGCGCGGCTCGCTATGTAAGCAACGCGTGCAGGCGACGGTGCGTTAGTAAGCATTTTTATCAAGAGCGTATCAATTCATTTCTTCTTAATACGCTCTGATTTTTATAGCAGTAAAGACACTTTAGAGGGCTTGTTTGACGATTGTGTGGCGATTGCTAAACATTTGTTACGGTTGCTTAAGCATTGCGAGCTGGCGCATCCGTGCATGGAACTAAAGGTCGCAACGAGTACAGTGCGCGCCAACACACGCACACGCACGCGCACCACCAACACACACGCACACGCACGCGTACCCAACACACACGCACACGCACAGCGCACCCAACACACACGCACACGCACGCGCACGGCCAAACACACACGCACAACGCACGCCACCCAACACACCACGCACACGCACGCGCAACCCAACACACACGTGCACGCACACATATACCCGCGCCTCACGCACGAACGCGCGCAGACACGTACACGTGCGCCACGCGCGCACGCACACACACACCACACGCGCGCGCTGTTTTTGGCGACCATTTGAACAACTTGATATGCGACGAAAAGCAGAGAATATAATAATAGCTAGAATTTTTCATTAAAATCTGATCTAACATAACATATTTGTTATATATATCCCCCGCGTGTCGTATAGCGTTGTTATTCGTGCTTAATGCAGCGTGATATGATTCGCAATTTCAAGGAGAACATACGCCCTATCATTACTCTCCCTCATTCGTCATCACTCATGCAGGTTATCCAAATGTTGAGCAGCAATCACCACCGTCATTGTTAACAAGCACGCG